CAGACCACCCAAACACCTGTTCACTGAAGAAAAGCAACATGACTGCCATTTCATCTTCCTCCGTCTGAACCACAGGAAAGTCTCAGAAGTTTTTTTCCAGGATCTGTGTTTTGATCATGCTGTTCTTTGTTGCATGTAAAGCACATAAAACCTTTGGCTTACCTATTTTTTACAATCCCAGCAGTTGATATTATGCATTGAAAATGCAGTTTCATAGCAACAAATAGTCAGCAATGCAGAACACTATGCATAGAATCAATAAGTACATTATAGCACCCTGTTAGACAGTGCTCACTTGTGCCTCCACAGATGTTACATGTTTGGAGCCTATTGGACAGTGTCATACTTTTAATCCCATTTGACCTTCTTAGAATGTCCCACAGCTCACCAGTAGATTACTGTATATTGTACCTCCTGAGAAAAGCTTTGGTATTACATCTGATATAAGACACACTAATACAATAATACAAAACAGCATGTTAAAAAGTAATAAACAGATAACATGCTTGCGGTAATGTTAATATCATGATAATTGCTGTTTCATGATTGTGGGTACATCTCCTGTAAAGAAAATGACATTTTTCTTGATATTTTACAATTGTCCAGTATGCAATAAAATAAGGCATGCGTCATGATGCAAACTTTTAGATTCATGCCCCGTTTTAGAAAGGTTTTTTATTTAGTTTGATCACTACTTCTGTAACACAGTGTAAGATGAAATTGCTACAGGACATCACTCTACTGGATTCACAAGCATTACACAGACACAGCGCAGCAGGAACTCTTTGGGCACAGTGTGTTTGGTGCTTTTCAGGGCTTGTGTAAATTGGGTGCTGGGAGGCGGAATTAAAATCTGGAGTGTATGCTCATGTACTACAATGCTAATCAAAGTCATGACTAGGATTAATGAGACTGACACCTTTTTATTGCAGAGGTTGCTGTAGAAGTTACAGGAAAAGAGTGTTATGGCTTTCATAGCAACAGATGGTTGCATTGTATAACAATGAAACTCCCTCAGTTAGATATTGGTCTTTTGGTAAAGTAGGTCTGGTGCTTGTCTGGGCTGTGTGGATCAGATCATTCTAAGATAGTCTGAATCTTGAATTTGACTGCCCACAGTACGCTTATGGCATATTTCTAGGTTACTGTGGCTTGTTTGTGGTCCCTGTTATACTCCAAGGTAAACCTTGAAGAAATCAAGAGAAAATGGCAATCTGAGAAACAAACTAGGAGATCCTGGGATCTGTTTGTATGGCAAACATTATTTTAATAATCAGTAATTTTAAGAAGTAAAAAGCTTTAAGGCAAACCCTTTACTTTGCAAAGTAACACATGGAAAAGCCACATCTGTTTTGATGGTATCGGTCCATTATGATTTGACTTTTAACTCATCAGTACAGGACTTGGATTTACCTGTTTTATTAAAACAATTCCTTAAATAAAGCCAAATTTGAAGAACTCATCCTCCCTCTGCGCATAAATTGTTTAGGTCCACTTCACATTTGAACATAATACTTGTTCAGCTGTTTGTTTGTACCATTAGAAATTGCAAAAACAAAAGGAGATTCATGTTTTTAGGAATGGTTGGACAGCTGCTCATGGCTTACATTCTCAGCTGCTGAACTTGAATCTTATTGAGCTGATACATTATACACCAGTATTGTGGCACTGTGAAAGAGCAAAAAATGGCTGAAATTTCACCTACACCTACCTACTGCATAAAATATACTGAGGAACATGACAACAAAATAGTGAAAACAGTGATGTTCTAAACTAAAATATAGCTTTGTCAATAGAAAAAGTGATTAACAAGTTTAGAAACTCCAAAATTTAGAAAAAGGATATTGTAACAGGGCAGTTTTTTTTTTACAAAAGAAGCTTAGAAATTAATAAGCTTACATTCTCAATTTATCCTCCAGATATATGATAAGATCACACACAGATTATGTTAAAAAACAAAAAAATGGAAAACATTTGCTGGTAATGTTTCAAAACACTTAGGAGGGCAACTAGAAATGGCTGTCTGTTTATTGCCAATGAATACAGCTGCAGGCCAGCTCCACAAGGAGTCTTTGGCTCATGTTGTCACTTCACCAGCTATTGTTCGGCTTTTCTGATGACGATGCTCCTCATTTAGCTGTGTGCTGCAGGTGTCTGCGTTTGTTGGAAGGATTCTTCATACAATATCTTCCCACCTCATCTCAGCTAATTTGTACTGTATATCAATATGCACTACAACTTTGTATAGCAGTCTATGTGAGCTCTTAATAAACAAAGACACTTGAATACCTGAACATTTCTGGGGGGTAGCTGGGTGGGAGAGGGACGACATGAGTGGGTCTTTTTTTTGTCACCAAGCAAACATCAACAATTCACTGATAGATACTGTAAGAGGTGTAAAGAGCAATTTACAATTTATGTAGCCTTTAAAAAATTAAAAATTGATGCTTTGCTAGTTGACTGTGGGTAAAAAGAGAGACCACTGTTTTAATCTTTCTGTCTTTCTCTTCATTCTTTTGTTTGTAAAGACTGTTGCAAGTGGCAGAACTGAACTCATTTTTCCATGAGAAATTTCCACTTAAAACCTTGAACAGATATTAAGGATGCATCATAATACCATCTGAAAAATCTGGAGGTCTGCAGTAAAGTTAATGTGTGAAGAGCCTTTGTTAATGTTACCTTTTCCTGAAGCTATGATGTGTCCTATATGGGTGCTGTGTCCACCTTAATTCACTTGCATGACATGAGGCATGGAGCCCAACATAACGGCCAGTTACATCAACAGTAGAGATCTCCTGTTGACACGAGGTAGCGCCATCTCTGAGATGTCATTCAGTATTCCACAGGATGACAGAACACCCCATTACCATGCGTATTGGCTTCACAGGTCATTAAACAAGGTAAGTACTGTAGCAACGTGTCGCACAGCAGTGCACAGTGAGTAATGGTGTCACAGTCTCTTATGTCTAAAGTTTCTTTACTGTTGAGAGATGTTCAAAAAACATGAGCACCTCTGTTTTACTTGTAGAGTATTTTGAAATGTGATTCCATTAAAATGCAACTAGTTAGAACTTGCCTGCTGTAAACTGAATGGGCCATCATTTTTCTCATTTGCAAAAGTTGCTTTGAAATATGTTCTTGTTATCATGAATCACATCATTACAACATTTGAATGTATTTTTTTTAGATAAATGAAAAAGTTCATTTGAGAAATTTGCAGCCTACAAAAATGCTTTCTCTGCAGACATTTACTCTGTTAACAATGGCATTTGTTAACAATTATGATTTTACCTTTGACTGAAGTTCCGATATTCCAGTCATATTTAACATGTCATTGTTGAGGACAAAATATCCTTTCTGTTTTGTGCATATACAATTAATACAGTACTGCAGTACATAGCATACATTACCCTACAGACTCCAGAGACAAAAGGGTAAACTAAGGATTCAGACAAGACAGAATGATCATAAATCCTTAATGCAGTAGTCCTGAATATACAGTATGTACAGTAAACCACCTCTTTGTATTTGTATTTAGAGCGGAAAAAGTGGATTATATTTGTTTCCCACTAAACTTCTATAAAATCTACAGATTTTCTTCAGTCTCGGATTTCATGTGACCCCAACAGATGAAAGCTACCACATGGGAACTGCAAAAATGGGAGAGCAGCCAGTTCTTTAAATACCCTTCTTACTTGATAGCAAACGGAAACGTTTTTTTTTTCTTTTTTTGTTTCCTTTTCCACAAGATTCTTTACTGGTTGTTCCCCAGGGATGGCAAAGAAAAAAAATGCACTTCTGCACAATTTAAACCAAAGGCAAAAGCTGAAAAGGGCTTGTAAAAAGCGAATAAAGCTGATTGTTTGGTACTGTAAAAGGGTATTGCTAAGCCAATAAGAATTTCTGTTCTGAACAATATTTTTATAAACTTACCGATAGGACTGAATTAGTTTCTGAAGTTTCTAAAGACAACCCCATGGATTATTTTATGATAGTCTCTGAATTTAAATCGCTGTTCTCTATCATTACTATACAAAATTATATTTTAAAAGGATTTATGTTATTGAGTTTTTCTTTCCAGAACTGAAATGTAACTTGGTACATTTTGTCTCTTACTGTTTTTCCTGTTGTGCCATACGTCATTTTCTTAGTTTTCTTAATTTTCAAGGTTTTGTTCTTATTGTCTTCTGTGTTATTGTAGGAATTTGCCAATTGGAAATTACAATTTTTTAAACTTTTATGTATTTTTGTACAGGAGTGGAGCTGAAAGACACACTTAATAAGCTCTATTCTAAATCAAACATGCAGTGCATAACTCGCTGCTTGTGTAACGTGACAGTGAACAGTTGTTGACTCATCACGGAACTGATGGTGTGCTAATCTTTGGCCAAATGCTTCAAAGAAGCAAACCTGAGTCCTTCACAGATTAGCAACATCTCAATATGCTTTATAAAGTCAGACTTCCTGACAATTACATTTATTTTAGTCATTTGTGATGGGATTCTGTTAAAATTCAGTGTTTGGCTGTTCGCCAGTGTCACTGGAATTACCTACAGAGAAATGGTGCAGTAGTCAAACACTGTACAGTACATAATCACAAAGCTCTGGTAAAAATAATGAAGACAAAAATAAGAAATCAAAGCTACACTCATTTTCTTTGTAGGCATTTCTACACACTGTTGAGAGCTATTGCAATTTTGATAATTGTGTTAAAATCAATATGAGTATTGATCAGACATTTGAAGATTGTCCTTTGAGCTATTCCAAAAACAGAAGTAAAATGAAAAAAATATTAATGCTACCGATAACAATAAATAATAAAGAATAAATATTGTGTACATTTAGGTGTACCCAGTATAGAGTAGCAAAAAGAAACATATGTATGTATTTATAAAATCCTTTAAAACTGAATTATTTATTATTTTCCAATAAATGTTTTTTTTAAGTTCCATGAGGCTTAATTAAAGAAGAGAGCTCGGTGATTTTCTTTTCACACTTACTCTGACGAGCATCTGGGGGAACGGCCCTCTGGAATTTTCTGGCACATTGATTGGCGGGATGACCCAATCGCGTTTCCGTCGTCTCAACCCATTTGAGCTCAGCTGTTGTTTCCAAGGAAACAGGGTTACGCTCAGCTGAGGATCTGACTCTGGGGGTGTATTCTCTTTCCCTATTAGCTGTGAAGAAAGCGAGAAAGTAAAACAAACATTAGGCAATTCCTCATCCAAAGGCTTCCACTTTCAAAGCACATAATGGGAAAGAATTTCCTACTCTTATGAGGAAATGCTAAAATGACTAGACAAAGCTCAATAAAAAACAATATAAGAACTCTAAATGGGTGTGGCAGACATGCTGTAGTAAGAACAGTAGTTTCAGCTGACCGGCCACTAGAGGCAGCTGAAGCATATATTGTTTGTATATAGGTTTGCATGAGGTGTATTGTCTGTTTAATTAGGTAATTAGTGAAGGTCTGAGAGCCACATTTTCACACGGGGTTAATTTAGACTAGTTGATATTTAAAGGGACTCAGGAAGGTAGCTGGGGCTGGAATGATTCACAAGTGTATGTTGAAGGGAAGTTAGCTGAGTAATGTCTCCTAGTACAATATTGAGAGTGATTTTTTTTTTTTTTGGTAGCTTTCAATGTACAATGATTTATAAGCCTGCCAGAAAGCTTTAATTAATGGAAGACCACACACAAGCTACAGACCTAAATATGTGGTCATAATGCCTGTTTTGAGTTTGTCCTGATGACTTTCTAACTCCGATAAGACATCAAAAATCGTGGTATGCCAACATACTGTATGATTCACTCAGAGAAGTTCAAAAGACAAAAAATAATTTGCATGCTTAGAAATACATGGTGCATTGATACAAAATTACATGTGTATTACATGCACATTCTCTCTTCTTCTGCACCATATAGCCTGATGGATAATATTGTGATGGTCAGGGATTGCCGTCTCACAAAAGAAAATTGTTTAATACACTCAACAAAATCTCAAAGAACAATACTGTTATGTCACAATTCTGTGACATAATGTGTGCAGAAACAATAGAGAAGGCAAAGCAATGCTGAGGGTTAAAAAAATAGAGTCCAAGTATTGACAAGAAATGATACAAGCAATACATTGTATTGAAAAAATATAATGGAAAGAAAAATGTATTCAGAGCAGAAAGCATTTTGCTGGACAATAAAACAGGAGATATCCAGATACAGAAAGCTGGCACTGCAAGTGTTAAGCATGGAAGAAGGATGAAATTCAATATTATCGCACTCCAGGACAAATGCTGAACATTCAGCTCAAAACACATTCTCCAATTTTTAAAATCCTTTTCTGCTAGCTGATCTCGGCAAGCAGTCTCAATAATAATTCAATACATCTTGGGGAATTTCATAGTCTGTTAGAGGCTATGCAATTTAGAATAGGTTAAATACTTTGCAGGATCTGGGATGAAGATGATTTAGATCTAACATCTTCTCCCAGAGGGCTGCTGAATCATTTGTTTTCATGTTTTCTTTTGTCAAAAGGCAGAAAATGAATACGAATTATGTTGAGCTAAATAGGTGAACTGGAGATGGAATCCCAATATGATAATCTGTCAGAGAGCTATATAAAGGAAATCAGCTCATTAATTCTCAGTGTTATGCAAGAGGAGCCAATCACCATATATTTACATATAAAGAAGGCCTGTCTTAATACCCTTTCCATTTTTTTAAACTTTTTTCTACACTTCCTTGCAGCTAGTTAAGGAAACGCGGACCAGTAAAAATCAGGGAACAAGAAAACTTAAGGCAAACAAATTATCATTATATATGAAAACTGGCCTTCTCCATGGTAATCCATGCTAAATCATGCTTTGATCTTTCTAGGCTTGATTACTGTAATGTAGTGCTTGCTGGCGTAACCACATATGTTCTTAACAAGTTGCAGCATGCCCAGAGTCAGCTGGTATTGGATATAAAATGGAAGTTCTTAACTAAAGTTTGGGAAGGATAACAACAAACAAAGCCAGTTTCTTCCAGCTGTTTTAAACCATAATCATTACTAAATATCTCTACATATACAGTATTTCTCACACAAGTGCCTCTTTTTGCATTTTTGTTGCATGCCTCTCCTTCATCACATTTCCACCTTTTGCACCTACCCCTTGATTAAACTGTCTTTCTAAATGGGGCTGTGAGCTTCCTTGTCCTGTGGCCAGTAGGCTGCCCCTTAACCACACAGGTTAAGCCAAAACTTTAAAAAACTCAATAAATATTCACAAACATTTAATACTTGGATGCTGTTACTCCTCGTGAACTAAAACTAAAATGCATGAGCATAGACAGTATCTCCTGTTTTAGCTTCCTGGAACTGACTCCCTGTGGATTTCAGAATAAAAGTTACAGTACTGCTGCTTGTTTTTAAGGGATTGAGAGGTTTTGCTCCTGACTACGGTACATTAGTGAACTGCAAACCTGTCTTTTGTGCTTTTTAGACTCTGGCATGCTTTCAGTTCCCAACAGTTCAGACTGTTGAATAATCCCCTAGTACAAATCAGATCTAACAACTAAATCAGCATTTTTAAATGGTTTTATTTATTTTTTAATTAAAACTCTCTTTTATATACTGAGTTTTAATTCAGTTTCATTTCCTGTTTTAATTTGTGTGTGCTTGTATGTATTGTTTTTGCTCTTGTCTTACTCTAAAGTACCTTGGAATAGTATACCATGGAATGCCATACAGTATATCAAATAAAATTATTACTACTGGCAACAATGACAGCACACTATGCATACTAGATTCTAGGTAACAACATTCCATGCTTTGAATGACTTGTAGCTTGTTGGGTTGGAAGGCTTTGCCAAATGTTTCCTCATTTTATTCCACAGGTTTTCAGTTTTTTTCAAGGTTATGTGCTGGAAAACAAGCTAGCAGATTGAGCTGAGATACTAAACCCATTTGAGATCATGTTCACCTATCATGGTCTCATGCTGTCATCCATAAAGAGGAAGTTCAGATGATAGTATCCATGAAGTGGATTGATCACAAGATTGATGATGTTATCAAGATAGTACTGGCCCATGACCATACCCTACACAATAATAAGCTCTGGTTTAAGGTCACTAGACACTCTTTTCTTCATGAATATATAGCCACTAACATGTCTATCTTTCTCTAGGAGTTTGATATGAGTTTACATTTCATAAAAACTCCTCCAGGCCAAGTTTTGGCCATCTCGAATTGGCTTTCATTCTTGAACAAATCTTCCAAATCAATTACAACAAACACAGTGAAATATCTACAGTACTACAGTCTTATCTATGCCGGTTATTCTGTACCTGCTTGCTCTAAAAATGAGTGGTTGCTCTTTGAGTACTATTTTGAGAACTACCTGGCAGCCCCCCCTACACCCAACTTGGAGAAAACAACACACACAGATGTGGTTCTCTGACACACCTATATCCAAAAGGATACCTGCTATGCTTGATTTCTGTATTGCACAAAGTCCATATGCTCTTCCTTCGGTTACTGTAGAATGTCAAACAAACTATGTACAAGCTAACATATTGATGAAAGCATGCTGTAGATTGTCAACATGTGGGACTCAACAGATGCAAGCATAACCGGATAAAACGTATACTGAAATATTTTGTTTTATGCAGGGAGGGGGTGTTCTTTAGGTCTGACCATAGGGGTTGATTGCTCCAGTTCATACACCGTATCTGTTAATTCAACCAAATAGGAGAGGCAGGGGAACAGATGTGCTCCCTGTTAAAATTACTTATGCTCTAGCTGCTCTCCTAGGGAAATATTGCCTATAACTACCTGTACCATGGTCTCTGTGGATTTGTGGAAATGGTATACTGGCCTTTCTTTGATGGGTGGCAAGTTGCATTAATAAGAAGTCCAAATGGATCAGGATTGTTGCCAGTCTGCACCAAAGTGGGGTTTAAACATCCTCTGGCACTGAACACCAATGAAATCACAGAATTTCTCTTCAAATACCTGAAACATTAACCTATTCTGGTATTATTAAGTATATTTTTTATCAAATAAAAAACATATTATAACTATAATATCTGGTTTATGCCTTCATTTTTTAAATGAAAGCTGTGCTCTACCTGATACAATTCTACCAAAAAATATTCTCTAAAGGATTCTTCATTTGCACATTTCTGACATCTGTTGTTGTTGATTTGAACAGGGAGTCAAACTAAGCATTCAAAAGACTAAGAGCCATGCACTTGTGTCTGCTTATCTAGATATGAGCAATCCTCAGCAGTTAGTAGCTGTTAAGCTGTGAGCTTCTGAAAGTGGTTATAAAATCTTTGTTTTCTAAATCTTCCTTCTTCTACAAATATTGTAAATATTTTAATGACATTTCACTTTCCTCTGCTATGGTGTGTTTCAGCATTATTTTATTGTAGGAACAGGAAAATCTTCATTAAAGAAAATAAAATTAAATGTTCCTAATACTTGACATTACTGATAGTGTTGATGCTTAACAGCTCTTCGTTCCCAGACGAGACTTTTCTTAAAACCTAAATCATCCCTGTGTAATTTCATGGCAAACTATACCCTGGTGTCCCAATCAGAGATTTACTGCAAATTATGTCTTATTCATCAGGAATATAAAATAAGACATAATTATATGATAGTTCAGGTGGGTAGCTGAGTCATCATGCATAGGCTGCAAAGGAACAAGTAATAGGTAACAGGTTTATCCTATGCTGAAAAGAGAAGAAAAAACACAACGTTTCGAATGTGGAGCTTTCTTCTCTTTTCAGCATGACATAAACCTTGTCACGCACTCTACAGCTAGAGGGCGCTCCTACTCTGTCCTGTTCCTAGTTTCCCTGTGCTTTGTTTGTCCTTCTAGTTCGTCTTTGTTTGGGTCTATATATTTCCAGGTCACCCTTTCCTCCTTGCTCAGCATTGAGGGTTCGGATGTCTTGAAACCTGCCTAGTATCAGGTCATCTTCTCCGCAGCCTGAGAGCATAGGTTTCTACCTGACATCATTTGACGTCCTGAGCCCGGTCTAACCCCCGTTTTGTTGCTACGTATAGGGTCTTTTTTGCTCCCCTGACCATTCCATGGCATGCCCTTTCCGACATCCATGAAAGAATGCTGAGCCATACTTTGACCCTGCGAATGGCGCTTTTTGTTTTCCCACATTGCTTTGGGCCTTT